GGGAAGGAATGTGTGGCTGTGTTGTAACACAACATTTTAATTTGGATTTTATGTACTTTTCATGTGTCATGAAATAGTATTCTTTTGGTTTTTTTTCAACCATTTAGAAATGTAAGCTGGGCACAGTGGTCAATGACTGTGGTTCCATTTACTCAGGAGGTTGTGGCAGGAGAATCAGTGGGGCCCAGATCAGGCCAGCCTGGGGAACATAGTGGGAACCCATCTCTTAAATAAATAAAATTAAAAAATGAAAATCATTCTTAACATACAGGGTATACAAAAACAGACAGTGCAGATTTAACTTGGAGGCTGTAGTCTGCTGACCCCTGGTCTACATCCTGTTCATCTTAAAGCACTTTTTTTTTTTTTTGGTGGCACTGGGGTTTGAACTCAGGGCCTTATGCTTGCTAGGCAGGCACTCTTACCTCTTTAAGGCACTCCTTCAGCCCCGCCCCACCCTTTTTTTGAGGGGAATAGAAGGGTCTTGCTATTTGCCTGGGCTGGATCTCTGTCTCCTGAGTAGCTAGGATTATAGACTATATTTTTTCCTTTTTTTTTTTTTTCAGTATTGGGGTTTGAACTCAGGGCCTACACCACTCCTCTAGCCCTTGTTTGTGATGGGTTTTTTCGAGATAGGGTTTTGAGAACTATTTGCCCTGGCTGGCTTCGAACCTTGATCCTCCAGATCTCTGCCTCCTGAGTAGCTTGTGATAGGTTATTTTGAGATAGGGTCTCATGAACTATTTGCCCAGGGGCTGGCTTCAAACTGAGATCCTTCTTATCTTTGCTTCCTTAGGAGTTAGGGTTATAGGCATAAGCTACAGGCACTCGGGAAATGACAACTTCTGATGGAGGTAGAACAGGCTAGATTTACTTCCTGTCTATCTTATTGCACACTCTCAAATGTCCCCCACTGATCTGGTCTTACTGGAGTCCTTCACAGTTGTGTGGTTTGTAAAGGACAGCCTGCTGTATGGACGGGTCAAAACTCACCGTATAGTGCAAGGTCCAGGCCCAGTATTGAGTGCAGCATTCACAAGTTAGCTTTCCTTTCTCTTCCCTTTCATTATCCCTGTCTTCTTTATATGGTTATATTCAAAATTACTCAAAACCCACGAGCCCTCAGATTCCTCAAGAGAATTTTAGAGTTGCTCTCATCTATGTCGCATGGTTAATACCCCAGGCTTTAATCAGGCTGATCCAGCCCCAGGAAACCTACTGCTAACCAGAGATCCATCCCCCTTTCTTCCCTATAGGCATGGGGTTCAGTTTCTTGTTCCCTTATAACTGTGGGTATGCATGAAGAATAGTTACTTAGGCCTGATATGAAAAGTCAAGGGGGCTGAGGATGTAACTCAATGGTAGAGTGCTTGCCTAGAATACATAAGGCCCTGGGTTTGATGTTCCAGCACCAGAAAAAAAAAAAAGAAAACCAGAAGTCAATGGAAACCAGGTATGGTGGTTCACACCTATAATCTTAGCACGGTAAGGCTGAGGCAGGATCTTGAGTTTGAGGCCAGGTTTGGCTTCATATTGAGTCGCAGGCCAGCTTGGGCTACACAGGAACTGTAGCCCAAGGTATCTCAGCATCCCTCCCCCTCAAAAAAGGTCAAGTTTTCATCCATATGGTGCATTGCTGTCATCTCTATCTTCAAAGTTTTCTTCCTGAGAAGTAACCAGCATGGAGGATTTAATAGCTGGGGGAAGAGTCTGACTGAAATGGAATTCATTCTTTTGCCCCTCTTACATTTCAGTTGCTGAGAAAAAGGAACACAATGCAGAATGATTAAAGACAATGATTAAAAAGAATTAATAATTGGGAGGGAGTTAGGAGTTTGAAGGGAGGTTGCTCTCCAGAGACTCAGTGGGCTGAGAGGATGAACAAGTGACTTGGTAAATCACAGTGTCAGATAAGAGTTGCCTAAGCTGAGCTTCTAAGTAAAGGATATGAGAAAGCACAGAGAAGGAGGGTGACTGGCAGTGAGTCTCATGAAGCTGCGATATGGGTTTTTAAACCTGTAGTGCACTTGCCCAGCAACCAGACAATTCTCCATTTTGTGAGAAATGGGGAAGAGAGAGCAGTAGCACTGATTACATGCCTCTCCATGTGAGGTTTGGTTACAAGGTGTTTCCTACTATTATTTTGGTGGGACTGCGGTTTGAATTCAGGGCCTTGCACTTGCTAGGCAGGTGCTCTATTTGAGCTGCATTCCCAGCCCATTCACCATTATTTCAATTTTAATTAAAACTACTTATGGAGTTGGGTGCTGGTGGCTTACACCTGTAATGCTAGTTATTCAGAAGGCAGAGATCATGAGGCTCACGGTTTGAAGCCAGCCTGGGAATAGTTTGTGAGACCCTATCTCGAAAAAAGGCTGGTGGAGTGGCTCAGTGAAGACCCTGAGTTCAAACCCCAGTACTGCAAAAACAAAACAAAACTCATGGAGTTAGTATGTTGGCCACAGTTTTCAGATGAGGAACCTAAGAGGAGGAGTTGGGACTGGAACTGTTCTTTTAAATTGCAAGTAAGTCATAATGGAAATACTGCTCTCACAAACACATTTCTTCACACCCTTGGCTGGGAGTATAGGGCCTGGATTCAATCCCTAGCAAAATAAAAGCCTCCTAAATTCTCAGAGTGGAGGAAGAACATAGACTGGAAGATTTTTGTTTTCATCTACTCCCATTATAGTTCAGATATGTAGTGCTCATTATGTTGAAGGCTTGGTCCCTAGCTGGTGTGCTATTGAGAAGTGGTTTGATCACAAGAGTGCTAACATCATTAATTAATGATGGTCAGTGTGGATTAATCCATTCATGAGTTCATAGCTGAATGGGCTATTAGGAGATGGGGCCTGGTTGGAAGAAGTAGGTCAGTGGGGGCAAGTCTTTGAAGGGTGCCTTTGTCTTTGGCCCCTTCCTGTCACTTTCTCTGCTTCCTGGAGCTTTGCTCCAGCACACCCATGACAGGCCCCAAAACAATGGATTCAACAACCATGGATCGAAACCCCTGAAACCGAGGGCCAAAATAAATTCTTTCTTTTCTGTTTTCTCAGGTATTTGTCACAACAATAAAAAGTGACAAATACAATACCCTCCAACCCCCAAAATGCAATGCTTGCATTAAAAAGACATGAAATCCTTTTTTACTATGAGGAAAATAGTATCACTAAATGACTCAGAACATTGGCAGCCTGGTTAAACTGCCAAATCGACCTAATGACAAATGCATAAATAAATCCTCGGCAGAAATGTGAAGGTATGCTCAGGGACTATTAATTCAGGGGTGACTTTGAGGCACATCTATTATCTCACTTAATCCTCCCACTGTCCCTGTGAGGTAGGAACACAACTTTTATGGATAAAGAAGCTGAGGCTTAGAACAGCTCAATGTCTGTCTTAAGGCTACACAGCTGCTAAGAGGCAGGCCAGGATAAGAACTGAGGGCCTCGCATAGGATCTGTCCTCCTGGCAGACTCCTTCTAGAAATAACTAGAGTAGCAACAATAAAATCATGCAAGTTAAGCACTATCAACTCACTCAGTCTACATGCCACCATCTTTTCTATGAAGATGGTAGCCAATATGGAAGATTAAAGAAAATGCTAGACAATCTTTAGTGTGGTACAGCTGAAGGAGAGGTTAAAGTACTCTGGTTTTCCCCAGTGTCTTCCTCAGAATACTTTTCCCATGAGGTACTCTGTAACAGCTAACCAACAAAAACACTAGGGCAGTGTTTCCAAAACCAAATGTTAGGAAAACAATGTGTTCCCTAATCCTCCTCTAGGAAACTGACACATACATACTATCAGTTCTAAGAAGTAGTGCAGTAAGGGATTCTGCTTAAGTTTAATTCTGTCTGATGCATTACTAACCTTTCTAAACCTATAGGACACATCTTGGGGAACACCAAAACTAGTCTAAAGCATGTCCAGTGAGTTCTGTGGTCCTCTGACCATAGTCTGAAGGACTTTGTTTTCCTTTCCCTAAAGGCAGAAAGGCCCATTATCCATATGAGCATCTTCTGGTTCATCTGTATTTAAGTCTTCCACATGACAACTGGGCCTTTTCACGTTCCAATACAGGCTGAGTCTCAGGGTTGCCATGTGACCTAATATACTTTAAACAAGTCTATCCAAGGTTAAGTCACATATAAAGAACCATCTTACAACAGTATTGATTTTGAAAAAATCCTTTTTCTGGAAGAGAATAATTATTTCCTATATTGTCTTTCCTTACTGTTATTTCCATTTATATGGAGCTTAATATATGGACGGACCTCATCTCTGAAATGGGCAAATTACTAAATGCCTATGAGCAGTGCCTATGGGGAAAGATATTAGTGGGGCTGTGAGGAGGCAATGGTGGTGTAAGTATTTGATATGTACAGAAAAACGAACTAGGAAGAGTGAGACTAAAAAATCTCATCTTTCTCTGTGTTCTAGTGTTTACTTAACACAGGGACTCTAAGCTGAGCCATGTGTGGTGCATGCCTGTAATTCTGACACTTAGGAGGACAAGTCAGGAAGATCTCAAGTTTGAGGTCAGCCTGGGCTACAATTTGAGACCCTGTCTCAAAAAAACACGACAAAACAAAACAAACCACCAACCAACCAAGCAAAAACTTTTCCATCTACAAAGGACTCTGGAAATTCTTTAGCTTCAATGAGGTCTCCTGTACCTCATGAGGCTGGTGAAGTTTGAAAAGAGTTAGTTCAGTTCGTGGAAGAACTCCGACTTGGTCAGTGGTCTTTCTCTTAAGTTCTGTCTTTATGACATTCCAGCGTCATTTTAATGAATTACTTTCTTGATCATTGGCTAAAATGAAAGAGCTTCCCTTATTTGCTTTCCTTTGGTGCTGAAGCGGGAGACGACGAGTCAGGCACACTACCTTCTTTGGTTCTCATGCCCTATCATGTGCGAAAGGCAGCGCTCTTGGTGGTCCTCCTTGCTGCCTTTCCTTGCCCTCTGCTCCTGACTTGCTCTCTTTCTCCCAAACAGTTATATTTGGGAATACATGTGTGCAACTTCCCAAGAAGTCTGTAGTCCAGAGGAAGATGACTCCTGGGTTGACTTCTTCCACCGTGTTTGAGTTTGCCCCAAGTTTGGAAGGTTGGAGAGCAAACAAAAACTAAACTACCATTCTATAGTCCAGCTGGCAGGTCTGTGTCCGTGCACACGTGGAAGAATTAAGAACAAGGAAGAAATAAGGGCAGGAACTCCAGTTGGAAAAGTTCAAAGCTATTGTTCTCAATTTTCCCCTTGTAATTAGCTTGTAGTCCCTCAGTCATCTTCAGACGTCCATCGGGTCAAGGAAGCATCAGAACAAGCAGTCGGGTAGCTGCACTGAAGTCAGCGTCCTGGCGCAGGGGGTCGTGGAGAAAGTGACTTTCTCTTTGGCGCTGGGGTCAGAGCAGGAGCCCTTTCCCAAGGCCCACGCCCTCCTGGCACCCTTCCTTTCACTCTTCATTCCTCAGACTTCTGCGAGGGGCAGGCCTATTTTTCCAGCCTCGCACTTGCCCTCAGACCCCCCTCCCGCAAACACCCCGAGGGCCCTGTTAAAATGGGAGGTGAAACGGAAGCTCCTCCCGGGGGCCTGGGGAGAGTGCCCCGGGGTCACTGTCCCCCAGCCCCCGAGGGCAGCATCCTCATGAGGGCTCAGCTCTGACCCCGGGCACCTTTGGTCCCTGGGACGCCCAGCCATTCAGGTAGGTGGAGGGCGTGTGAGGCGGTCTTGTGGGCGTCGGATTGGGGTCTGGGAGCCGCACGATGGCCTTGGGGAGTGGCGGGCATGCGGTTCCAAGCACAGGGGCGGGCACAGCGAACTCACTAACGGGGCGTCTCCGGGAGGTCGCGCGAGGTCCGTCGGTTCACGGGCCTTCTTCCTCGCAAATCCACCCCTGAGCAGACCAACCCCACTTCTCGCCCAAACTTGTGCAGACCAGGGATTAGGCGGGCGCGGGAGTCGCGGACGCCGACAGGGAAAAAGCCTGATTCGGCCCAGTCCGGCTGCGGGGCTCCTCCAGCGCCGGGTCGCTTATACAAAGACGGCGGCAGAGGCTCCGGGGTTTCGGCCCGGCCGGTCGCGGGGCACCCGGAGCAGCCCGACCGCCCCTCACGTCGCAGCAGGTTCGCCAGCGCCGCCAGTCGCCCCCCCTCAGCCGCCCCGCCAGGCGCGGCCTCCTCCGCCGGCGCGGGGTCCCCTGGTTAACCCCTGCCCGCCAGCCCGGCCGCTGATTGGAGGAGGCGGGGCGCCGGGGCAGCGGGGACCCCCCCCAACACCTTTCTCGTCCCCTCCCCCTCCTCCCCCACAGTCAGCGCTTCCCCACCCCCCCAAGACCCCCCCCTTCGCTTCCCAGCCGTGCAAATCTCGCGAGGAAACACGCGGTTTCACTAGTGTGTTTACACCGATCACTACTAATCCGGACCGAACCGATCCGGATTAAGGGGCCGGAGGCGGGTTCTGGGCACCAGCGGTTCCGACCCCCCCCCGCCCTCCGCGCAGCACCCGAGTGGCCCCCAACCGAGGGGGCCCCCACCTCCCTGCCCGGCCTAGGCCCTTCTGCGCCTCCCTTGGCCTTTGTCCGGCGCCAGGAGGCCGGTTCCGCGCCCCCCGCGGCCGCCCAGGCCCGGGCCCGCGTCAGGCGCCTGGCTCTGTACGCGAGCCCGGGGATCTGCGGCCTCCACGGCCCCCCTCCCCCGCCCGCCCTCTCGTGGAGCCCGGCGCCGGCGGCGGCTGCCCGGGCGGGGGGTTGCGGCGCTCAGGAGAGGCCCCGGCTCCGCCCCGGGCCTGCCCAGGGGGAGAGCGGAGCGGTCCGCTGGTGGGTCGGGTCGGGGTCCCTCCCGGGAGCAGCGTGGAGCGGCGGCGGCGGTGGCAGGTGAGAGCTGAGCTTGGGCGGGGGAGGGCCCCGGGCCTGAGGCATTAACCATCTCGGAGACCCCGTCGGCCCGAGGAAACTGCGAGCCGGGCCCACCCTGGGCTCGGCCGCCGCTCCTGGGCGCCGAGGCTGAGGTGCTCCCCGAGGGCTGCGGGTCGCGGGAAGTTGGGGCAGGCCCAGGCCTGGCAGTAACGCTGAGGGAAGGGGGGACGCCCCGGGAGCTGGGGTATGGCGGGGGGGGTGACCCAGCAACCTCCCCGGTGTCCCCCGGAGCCGGCCCGCTCTCCCTCCGTGACAGGTGGGCCTGGAGTTGGGGAAAGTTTGGAGCCGGCGAGGGGCGCCGGGCCCAGGCCCCATCGGTCGTGTTTCCCGGCTGTGGGGCTGCAGGGAGGATCCCAGTCCAAAGCCCCGCTGGAAACAGACGAGTGGCTATTTCCCTAACATGAGTTGACATTAAATGCGATAACCGCTGGAGCGTCGTTTTCTGGGCCAGGCCTGAGGATGGAGGTTTGGTAAATGCTGCGAGAGACCTTGGGGCCAGGGAGAGACTGCAACCTCTGCTGCCATTCGACCGACCTCGATTAGGGCCGGGCGAGAGGCAGGCGAGCGAGCAAGGCCACCCACCCTCTTAGGGAAGACTCTCAATCTCCTTAAAAAAAAAATAAAAGAAAAGAAAGAAGATGCTTTTCCACCCTTCTAAGAATTGCCTAATTCCTCTGTAACCTGCGCTTTGTATGTGTGGGTGAAACTTTAATTTGCCACCCTTGCATTCCCCTTTGCCCCAGGCTCTCACTCAATCCAGGAAGGGAAATGAAACCGGAGGACTTGTAGGGGTTGTTACTGGAAATTGTGGAGTTGTTCGATGGCAGAGATGTTTGATCATGTTTGCAGTGAACTTTAAAATCACATTAATCATGCCAATAACTACTTAATAATACGTCCAAAGGGGTTCTGCGTAATGGTACATGCCCCTTTCCAACTTGTAATATGGAAGAGACATTTTTCAGTAGAGCGTGCAAGAGTTGATCTCTTGCGAAGGATAGATACAATTGTTCAAGGTGCCTGAGCATTAATTGGTCAGGGAAGGAGTTTAAAAATGGTGTCCTCCTCCCCCTTCCTGCTTGGAAGGAGTGCTAAAAGCAGATATCCAGAGTGGAGAGAAATCTGCTCCAGGGAGTGGTCAGAAAAAAAATTGTAAGGGGATTGTTAGGAAGTTACATTAATTTCGTGAGTGAATTGAATGGAGGTTCATGGTTGTGCCTTGGGTTCTCCAGTAAATTTAAAATAAGATAAATTCCTTTTTTTAGGAGAAGCTATATAATAGTATTATTTGAAGTTATTTGTAGCTTCTGATTCATGATGTATTCATTTGCAATTGTTAATGATTTATGTTTTTAGTTTTAGAGCTGGTTCCTGTGTGTTTGGGAAATATCTGAAAGTACTTAGCTAGATTCAACGATTGATAGAAGGAGTTTTATTTTTGCAGTCTCCCTTGTTTTGTTTATGCCCTCTGCTCAGCTTTTACAGAAATTTTATGAAAGGTTTGAAGTCCCCCCCCCCCATTATCAGAACTGAGGAAGAGTAAGAGGCCCTCATGGAGGAGGACTTCTAAACTGCTGTATTGATAACATCAAAAAGCTGTGTGATGCAGTACATTATAGTTTACCACTTATGTACTGTATTTCCCTGAGGAATACCTCTGGGTGATCATTCAGTGACACAATTGTGAGGTTTTTTTTTTTTTTAGTTTTGTTATCAATAAAATTGTTTTCTCCTTTTTTAGTTTTCATAACTTCACAGCCTACTTTTTCTTTTTCTATAGAAATGATGGAAGAATTGCATAGCCTGGACCCACGAAGGCAGGAATTGTTAGAGGCCAGGTTTACTGGAGTTGGTGTTAGTAAGGTGAGTAAAAAGATGATGACACTATTCATAGTCCAAACACATTTAAAAATGATTGAGAACGATTTGGGTGGGACATACTAATTTACAGTATGGGACATTTAGCTCATGGTTCCAGTGAACTTTCAAATCGTCCCAGTCATTCCAGTAGCACATTTGAAAGTGTTCTATTTGGGCATATATGTTTCTTTCCCTTCTAGCATGGGAGAACTTAACTGAGGGGGTTGTTGTAAGGATACTAACAGGATGTGTATCTAGATTTCATGCTGTATTTTGTTAAAACTTCTTAGTCACTCAGAAAAAAGCTACAAGGCATTGCACGGCTTCATTACCCTGGGTATTTGGTAGTTATTTGGTGGAGTGTTAAAGAATTCTCTGTGAAGTCTGTCAGTGTTTCAAATCTGCAGGTCAACAGATTTCTCCTGATTGCACCCCCAGGTTGCTTTCTCACTACTGTTTTCCTTCTGGCTCACTGTTTTATTTTTGTTGTGGGAGTGTAAACTAAGACCAGGCCCCCATTGTACAGCAGGTGGCAAGTGAAGCACTGTTGTGACTTCCTGTGCTTCTTTTTATACCTGCTTGTCCACTCTCTGCTATAATAGGATGTACATTATGTATTTATGCTGTTTTATTTAAAAGCTTCATGGATCCAAGACTGTCATAATTACTTGGGTTTGATACATGTGATGTGAATTTTTTATCTTTAACCAGTGTAATACATTTCTTTCTGTTTTTTTTTTTTTTTAATTCTTGTCTTAACAATAGCCTGGTGTGAATCTTAAGCTTTGGTTAGTTGCTTCTTCAAGGAGAAGGTGTATGTGAAGGTTTATAGTTGGAAAACGTGGCTTTAATGGGTTGGGCAATTTTAGTTGAGCTAGGATAACGTGATAGTTTTTGTTTATTCTACAAATACTGAGTTCTTACAGGAGCTCAGTGTAGAATGCTGCGGATGGCACCGCAGCGTAGTGCCTCATACCTGCAGTGTGGAGACAGATGACACTGTGACGAGAGCTGTATCAGGGCTGTGACGGGGGGCTGTGGGCACACAGGATTTATTACACTTTAGTTCTTTCCTTTTTTCTGGTGCTGGGGTTTGAATTCATCCTACACCTTAAGCCACTCCACCAGCCCTTTTTTTGATGGTTTTTTTCGAGATGGGATCTCTTGCACTATTTGCCCAGGTTGGCTTTGAACCGTGATCGTTCTGCCTCCTGAGTAGCTAAGATTATAGGCATGGGCCACTAGAGCCTGGGTTTTTTTCTTTTGGGACAGGGTCTTGCTATATAGTTTTGCCCGGGCTGGCCTGATCTTCCAACCTCAGCCTCCTGAGTGCTGGGATTATAAGCAAATACCACCTTGCCCAGCTCCAATTGGTTATTTATTGATGTCCACCCCACTTTTTTTTTGAGAGGGGGTCTCACTGTGTAGCTCAGCTATGGGCTTAAACTTGTTTCCTCCTGCCTCAGCCTCTTGCTGGGATTACAGGTGTAAGCAAGCATGCCTGGCCTTTTTGATGTGTTTTTTTTTTTTTTTGAGGTGTTGAGGATTGAACCTAGGGTTTTGTGCATGCTAGGCAAGCACTGTAACTCTGAGCTGTATTCCCAGCCCTCTTGTGTGTCTTTTAATTTGGGAATTCAACACAAGACTCATGTTCAAGTCTGTCTGTTCAAATAGCCCCTTACTGAGTAGGTCAGTAAGTTTGTATTCATATCGTATGTAGTTTGAACTCATTGGTCTTTCTTTTTGTATTTAGGTGCATGATGATGACTATCCAAATACACCTTTTGTTTTGTTTTGTTTTGTTTTTTTGGTACTGGGGTTTGAACTTAGGGCCTACCCCTTGAGCCACTCTACCAGTCCTTTTTTTTTTTTTTTTTTAAATTCATTTATTCATATGTGCATACCACCAAGCCCTTTTTTGTGGTGTGTTTTTTTCGAGATGAGCCTCTCACGCTCACGAGCTATTTGCCCCGGGCTGGCTTTGAATCGTGATCCTCCTGATCTCTGCCTCCTGAGTAGCTAGGATTACAGGCGTGAGCCACTAGCGCCGCATTCCAAATACACTTTCAATGATGTAGGGCATAAATGATGGGAAGGATGGGAATGAGTGACATTCTGTATTTTGCTGCCTAACTTAAAATTATGTAACTAAGGTTTCAGAGTTTTTTCGTTTTATTTGTTGGCAATACTGAGAGTTGAACTTTGGGCCTTAAGCGTGCTAGGCAGGCACTACAACTTGAGCCACTCTGTCAACTTGGTTTCAGAAAACTTTAATGCAGTAACTGGCATGTTTAATAGGAAGTTCTACCTTTATTATAAAGAGAGAAAAAGTTTTCTTTAGAGGGAAAGAAGTTTATATCCAGTTGTTTTAATGCCATTAATTGTATACTATTTTGATTTTTTTTTTTTTTGACGACACTGGGGCTTGAACTAGAGTCTCATGCTTGCTAGGCAGACACTACCATTTGAGCCACTCTACAGTCTTTACCTTGATATTTTCATCATGGCAAGGATGTTTACAATAAATATGTTATTCAAGGACTAGCAGGAGAGTATGGTTCTCTATAGCAATGAAACTTGAAAAACAACTAAATTACCAGGTAGTTTGCAGAGCTAGGAAGAAGAAAAGAAAATATCCACTTCTCTGACCAGCAGGACATTGTACCCTTCAGGCTATTGATGTGAAAGGGGAACAGGAAGGAGCCATAGTACTAGGACAAAGGGGTCACATTTGGATAAACTCTTCTAGTCCTCTTGGCTTTGGATTCTTTGTTATGGGTCATAATTTCCCAGTGAAGATATCTCTGTGTTGATGATAGCTTTCAGTTTTGCTGAGATCAAGAGAGGTTTCAACCCTTGTTTGTTGTTCAGTGAGAGAGCAGAGTAACTTTTCTGAGATGGTGCCATCTAGTGGGACTGGTGCTGTCTCATGGGCTCTCTCTTGAGTGTCTCCTACTTTTCAGTACTTTCTGATTCCATAGAAGGAAGAAAGTCAGTGCCACTGTGGATTCTTTTCTAGTGGACAAGACTGTGAGAAGTAACTGCAGTCTTGGAATTACTGTAGTTCTGTCATATTGCTTCTGCTTTTTTACACTTAACAAATTAGATATACTTCACACAATTTAGCCTAAAACAAAATGGCCAAACCACCACATTTTATTACTTGTATTTCAGTGCTTGTTATTTCTATTTAGGTTCTTAATTTACAGATTTTAAATATTTACAACACACTTATGTGTACTCAGTTTCTCTTTATGATTGATGTATTTACTTCGTAATAACTGGTAAACCATTTGTGTGGGGCTTTTGGAGGCATGTGGTTTTTGTTTAAAAGATTGATGTTTTCTGTCATTTGTGAGTTGATGATAGTGGAAAGAAGCCTAATGTCCAGTAGGTTTTTCTGCTGTAGCTGACACTTTTTTAGGAAGAGCTAAGACCATTCTCTCTTAGGAGTTTTGAGGTGATAAGGTTAAATTGGGCTGTGAACGCACTTCATTTATTACTGACCTGATATTAGAACTGTCCTACTTCTTTTTAAAGATCTTTTGGTAATGTGAAACTGCCTAACTCATATTCATATGTTTTCATCAGAGCCTGTTACAGTTTATATTGCTGAGTCTGCTCCCTTCTGGCAGTAGAAGTATAGAAAGTCACTGATTGTAGAGACTATAGAGTAGGTGGAATTCTAACCTTGCTCACACTGTTTCCTATACCTAGTAGAATATTAAAGTTAATACAGGAGCAAATACTTACAGTACTGATATGTGCTTGTACTGTCCCAGGAGCAACAGAAGCAATAAGAAATGAAGAATGTTGCTTAACAAACCTACGTTTAAGTAACTTAACTGAATTAGTGGACATTTACATTCTCTCCCTACATGCCTTACTGATTTATGGCTGCTGCATTGCTCCCACCAGTTGAGTTATAGACTTCATTTATTACAACTTGCATCTGTATTATAATTACATAATTTAACACAAAGTTACAGAAACCAGTGAAATACAATTGCAAAATGAAAGAATTTTTCTTTCTTTGAAAACTTAAGTTAGGGCTGGCATAGTGGCTCAAGGGGTAGAGTGCCTGCCTAGCAAGCCCGAAGCCCTGAGTTCAAACCCCAGTATTTCCAAAAAAAAAAGAAAAAAAAGAAAACTAAGTTATCTACACTAAAATGATTAAATATAAAGTGTGTCAATAAAGAGTTCTATAAAAATTTGTATATATACACATGCATGCACATATATGCTAGGGATTGAATTCAGGCCCTTGTACATGTTAAACACATGCTCTACTCTGAGCTACACCTTTAGCCCTTCTCATTTTTTTTTTAAATGTGTAAGAATTTGTTGCTTAGATCTTTAGCAGATGTCTTGTGTTTTCACTTTACTTTGAAAAGAAATTGAAACTGGAAATTGTTGATGATGTATTGTGGGTGTGGTTTGTGTAAAATTATTGTCAGTGAATCAATTACTCAAAAGGCCTACCTCAAAAGACTGGCAAAAGAATGTATATTTAGGGCTGAGGATGTAGCACTTCCCTAGTATGTGCTAAGCTCTGGGTTCCATCCTGTGTTAGTTAGCTTTCCATTGCTGTGAAAGAACACCTGCAAAAATCAAGTTGAAGAAAGAAAGATTTAATTTGGCTCATAATAATTTCATAGGTTTCAGTCTGTAATCTCTTGGCACTTTTGTTTTCTGGGCCTGTGATGGCAGAAGGTTATGGCCAGAGAGGGTGTGGTAGAATCATACTACTCACCTTATCAAATTGGGAAGGGGTGGGGAGAGAGAGAGAGAGAGACCCCAAGGGCATGCACTTCCTACAGTTAGGTCCCACCTTCTAAATTTCCATCACCTCCCAATAGCCCATTAGATTATAAATCTGTAAATGTAGTAATTCATTGATGAGTCAGAGCCCTCGTGGTTCTTAAAGCCCCACCTCTGAACATGACTATTGGGGCCAAGCCTTCAACACATGAACTTTGGGGAACACTCTAGAGCCAAACTATAGTAGATCCCCAGCACTGCCAAATTACTTTCTTTTTTTTCCTTTCATAAACTTGTCATTTTGATATATGAGCAGATTACATAATCAAATTTGACTTTTTGAAAGATATTTTAAAAACTTATGCCTTTTTTCTATTCATGTACTTAATTGCAGTTAGACTTAATTTCAGTTATGGATACCTACTGTTAGCTCTTTCACATATCAATGTCATTTTAATTAAAAAATATGTTTAGGTATTTTATACTTAATATATGCTAGACAATGCTTAATAAATATGAATGTCAAAAAAAATCTATACTTACCCAATGCATTTTTAAGGAGCTGTTGATACATTTATTGTCATGCTTGTCTTCATATTGTCTTTTCTCTTTTATTTGTCATTTGCTGTCTGATATCTTGCAGCATAACCATGCTCTTCTTTTGTGGTGGTACTGGGGTTTGAACTCAGGGCCTTGTGCTTGCTAGGCAGGTGCTCTACCACTTGATACACACCCCCTTCCTCATTCATAAATAGTAGTTTCTCCTATCCCACTCACCTTTCTCTAAAGTGCCACCAGTTACATTTCTAATCATGGCAATATTAAGTTACTGTCCTAGAGGCTCCCCATTGCCTCTTCTAGTTCAAAAACTTGTATTCCTTCTTCTCTATTTTAATTACCACAAAAATGACAACATATATCTTTGATGTATCAAAGGTTAAGCCTTTTATCCTCTTAGTCAGGGGCACTGAAGAGAACTCCATTTATTTCTCTTCAACTCACAATGCTATTACGGTTTTATAATTAATTGTACATACATACATTTTTTTTTTTTTTGTAACAATTTATTTTTTAAAGCAGTTTCAGGTTTATAGAAAATGAGCCAGCCACAGGCTCATGCCTGTAATCCCAGATTACTCGGGAGATTGAGATTGATAGGATAGCAGTTTGAGATTAGTTTGGGCAAAAAGTTAGTGTGATTCCATCTCAATAAGCTGAGTGTGGTAGTGTGCACTTGTCATTCCAGATTCTCAGAGGCGTAACTAAGAAAATTGAAGTCCAGACCAGTTTGGGTAAAAATTTGAAATCTTACTAGAAGTTTAATGCAAAAGGGGCTCAAGTGGTAGAACATCTGTCTAACAAGCTCAAGGTCCCAAGTTCAAACCCCAGCAGTACCAAA